GTTCATTCATTCAAAATGTTAATTATGCAGCCTCAGTATTATTCAGCTTTTTTGAAATTACAATTTTTTTGAAATTACAGTCCTAGATAGTCATGAATGCATGAATTTTTTTTTCTAGAAACTCCATTGCTTTTAGTTCATACTAAATTTGTTAGGTGATTGAAACTAACTCTCTCTCTCTTTTCCTAGTAACTGTTGCTTGGTCTGACATCTTCTTCAACCTGCATCCGAAGCATTGAATGGTTTAGTTTTGACTCTTCTTTAGAATTTATCCTCCTTCAAGAAATCACTCTAATTTTTTGGCATCTACAAATATCAGTCAATAGGCCTTCTATGTTTCTATTTGCATATTCATGAAAATTATTAAACTGAAGAGGCCAAGTTCAGAATGCTGAAATTCTGTGCTAGAAATATCCCATGTTTTGAGAACTGATGTATTAATATGGGGCAGGCAGGGGCAGTTTATTCAAAGAAATAAATCCTAATAAACACCAATAGTCCACGTGTCTTGACTTTGCCTAAAATGGATCTTGAGAAATAGTTAAATGTCTTGCTAAATTCCTGTGAAAGAGACTTGACTTCTTGGTATGAGATACCGTTAGTGGCTTAAAGGCATGGTATTGGGGGAGATACAGTAGATCTCCTAAATGTAGAAATGAAATCTGTCTTTTTTCACTTTATTTTTGGTCAAACTTTAGTAGTTTCAACTATCCCCCAGTGCATGTTTGGAATACCGAAAGGCATATTTTAAATAGAACCTTCTAGAGTTGTCATTGGAGCAAATTGCTTTCCCCAGGGCAAGTTGTGCCATTTCTTTTCTTCTCCTTCTGTCAGCTCCATGATCATCAATTGTTAAATGCTGAAGCAGCCACTCATAAAATGTTCCTCTCCTGGAGACAAAGGTCTCTGGGTCAGAAACTTGGGCACAGTTTGAAGTGCATACTGCTTTCCTTTCATCTCCTTAGTCCCATCAATTTGGACTTTACTCTTTTCTAGTTTCAATAAGTGTGATAAGCATTTATGTAGGGGAATTAAGCAATTCTGTTAATCACTATGATTTTTACAAGATGAACTCTTTCCTTCCTCTCCTCCTTACACATTTTAATTTTTTTCTTTGGAAAAATGGCCCCCAAAAGATTAGTTTGCATTATGAAGATCTTGTCTTGGGAAAACCAGTTTGGCTCTTTGTACATAACATTTCTCATGACCAGTGTAGGGACATTTAGTAAATGTTCAAGTTAACTCTTTCAAAAGTCCAAGTGAGAGCTTGTTCTACAAATTCTCATTTCGGCATGATACTTTTCTAGAGTAAATTACTTATTCTAAAGTGTTTGATTCAAAAGAGTGTTTCACTACCTTTATTTCCTGGTATTTATTCTGGCCATTTTATCAGTGTAATTATTTGTTTACTTCATTCATCATTCATTCCTTTATTCAAGAAATATTTTTTGATCAACTATGCCAAGAACAGTTCTATGTGTTGAAAATGTAAACTTGAATGAGACAGGAAGTTCTGGCCTCAGGGAATTTATGTTCTTGTGGAAGATGGAAAGTGAAGTCACAGGAAGCATGAATGAGCAGGACATTAGAGGCTGTGAAGGTGTTGCCTGTGTAAGGCAGAGTAAAATGACCAGGATGAGCTGGGATAGGTGGGATTATATATGGAGTGGAGGCCTATATGGGGAAATGAAACATGAGGTGAGATCTGCAAGATCAGCTGAGGGGGCTGGGGGCATAGCTCAGTTGGTGGAGTACTTGCCTTGCATGCATAAGGTCCTGGTTTCAATCCCTAACACAACTAACTAAATAAATAAATAGATAAACAAACAAATAATAAATAAAAGTTCAGCCAAGGATCCCTGTCAAAATTCAGTCACGTCCATCAACCCCTTGAACTCTAAGCCCTTGCAAAGGAAGGTCACCCTGTGAGAACTCCTTTATTAGAAGCAGGAGTCAACAGTCTAGTCCTACTACAGCTGTAGCCAACATGCCACTATCATTAAAATGAGGTCATGTGTCAACAGGAGGAGAATATCGAGAAATAGGCATTTTAAAGTGCTACTTTGTGTGCTAGAATCTCAGAGTTGCAAATGGCACTGCTCAAGGAGGCTTTGAAAGTATGTTCTTAGGCATGACCAAAAGAATTAAGTGATCCAACGACTTCCCAGCTATTCTATGAGGAACTGTGGACTAACTATCTTGTGTGTCTGGATTTAATGGACAAATGAACAAATTCAGTCAAACAATCATCTAACTATTTGCAAAATTTATGCTTTTTTCTTTCAAAATATCCACCAATTTGGTTGAACTTAACTGGTTTCAATTTCTTTTATTTGTGTACAGAATTTCCCAGAGACCATCTTCATGGAAATTTCCCCAGGTTTCTCTAGGCTAGCCCTGTCCCATGTTTATATTGAACACAAAGATACAACAGACAGGCCTTAAAAAGAAGAGTATTTGGTGAAAAATATTTATGCTAGAACCTGTGTTAGTTCCACATCTCTGTTAATTTCTCATTCAGGTGACTTAGGGTTCATTTGGAGGGCATTCTGCACGCTTCTTTACCTCTTGCTTCTTTTGCTTTGTATTCTGGAATTGTACCATTAAAATAGAAAATTTAGATATACTTTTATCATATAAATTTAAGGCTTTCTGCTTGTTTGTATCTGATAAGGCATGAACATTCTTTAAAAAATATGATCATATCTGCACAGGAGGCTGAGGCAAGAGGATGGCAAGTTCGAGCCAGTTTGGGCAACTTAGTGAAACCCTCTGTCTCAAAATAAAAAATGAGAAAAAGGCACACTCTTACAATTCTGGTGGGACTGCAAATTGGTGCAACCAATCTGGACAGCAGTATGGAGATTCCTTAGAAAAGTTGGAATGGAACCACTATTTGACCCAGCTATCCCGCTCATTGGTCTATACCCAAAGGTCTTAAAATCATCATACTATAGTGACACAGCTACATCAATGTTTATAGCAGCTCAATGTACAATAGCTAAACTGTGGAACCAATCTAGATGTCCTTCAATAGATGAATGGATAAAGAAACTGTGGTATATATATACAGTGGAATATTACTCAGCATTAAAAGATAATAAAATTATGGCATTTGCAGTAAGTGGATGGAGTTGGAGAATATCATGCTAAGCAAAGTAAGCCAATCCTCCAAAACCAAAGGCAAAATGTTCTCTCTGATAAGTGGATGCTAATCCATAATGGGAGGAGGGCATGGGGAAAATGGAGGAACTTTGATTGGGCAAAGGATAGGGCCAGGAAAAATGGTGGAATAAGATGGACATCATTACCCTAGTTACATATATGACTGCACATATGGTGTGATGCTACACCATGTACAACCAGAGAAATGAAAAGTTGTGCTGCAATTGTGTCCAATGAATCAAAATGCATTCTGCTATCATATATACTTAATTAAAATAAATAAATTAATTAAAAACATAAAAAGGGCTGGTGATATAGCTCAGATACATCCTGGACACCCCTGGGTTTAATCTCCTGTACTGCAAAAATAACAACAACAAAACTTCAATCATTTTTCCTTGCTTTTAGAATGGCAATGCCAGTTCAGGGCAGTTGGGACCCTGCCTACATCTTCAGCCTCATGTCCTACTTCCACCCTCCTCACATCACATAAGCAAGAAACATTTCTGAATAGCAGGCACTGTATTAAGAATTTTTCATGCATTTTCTCACTTAGTCTTCATAAGTGTTCCAAATGTCCATGCTCTGTGTGTTCAACCATGGTGTTTCCTTCACCTGAAATTACCTTCCTGCTTTGCTGGGGAACTTCTGTTCATCCTTAAATCTCAAGTGACCAAGCTCCTATGAAAAACTCTCTCCTTCCCCAGGAAAAGCAAATCACTTCCTCAATTCCCCCAGATCATAATTCTCATGTAGCACTTATCATTATGCATAGCACAAATTCAGTGTCATGTCCACCTCCTGCCCTGGGATAGGAATTGCTGAAAGTTCATAGCTAGGACTTGACTCCTTTTATGATCAGGCTGAGGACAATGCCTGGCACATACTAAAGACTCAATAGATGATTGCTGATTAGGACTAAATTGAATCAAATTGAAGATACCGCTTTGGCATCTTGATTAACATCTACAGTGTGTTGAATGATATTAAAAGTATATGTCCACATCCAATTCCTGGAATTTGTGAATATTACCTTATGCAGATCTTGAGAAGAGGAGTTTATCCTGGATGATCTGGGAGGACCTGAATGGGTTACATGTATTCTGATAGGTAGAGAGAAGCATAGAGAAAAGGAGGGATTGTAATCATGGAGGAGAGACTGGAGTGACATGATCACAAGGCAATAAACACCCAAAGTTCTCAGAAACCAGAGGAGGCAAGGAAAGGTTCTCTGCTGCAGCTTCAGAAGCGAGTGTGACCGACTCCTACCTTGGTTTTGAACTTCTGGCCTCCAGAACTACAAAAGTACAGTTTGTGGTAATTTATTAAAATGTCCCTAGGGAAATTAATATATTATCTTGTGATAAAATTTCTGAAAATATGTTCCTCTCAAATTAAAGAGTTCTTTGGATTTCACAGTATAGGAAACACTGAAAATTTAGAAAAGATTTTTCCTGAAGGTCTTTTCAGATGCTTCAGCAGGCAAAGATGCATCATGAATCCGAAGACCAGCAGTTCTCAGCATCTTTGATCATACCATCCTTTTTGTTTCTCCTGCAACAAATATTAACACATTTCTATGGATGTTAATGTTCAGTAGAATGGAGTTGGGGAGGTATAATAGCTATCGTCCTTCTGCAATGGGACACAGCAAGGGTATTTGGAGGAGGTGCAAAGGGCATTGTTCCTTCAATATGTACACAGGAAACCACTGTGAGCAGAAAGAAATACTTTTGCAAATATCTGCTATTTGCCTGGCACAGATTCTCTTGGGTTTAACTTTGCGAAATCTTCCTTGGGCTTTGTTTCCCTGGTTGCCACGGAGCCAGTTCACTCCTCACAGCAAGTTGGGGCTGGGCCTGAGGGAAACAACGGAGGAATTAAGTGAGAACATGGGGTCTGCAGGTGGGAAGCAGAGAAGGCCAGCTGCAGGTACCATTTGGAACATTCGTGCTCATTTTCTGCTACACTTCCCCCTCCCTCTACTGTTGTTTTTTCTGCTTCAGTCTCTTGGAAACATTCTCTTTCCTAATGTAAATCCCAGCCCAATAGCTCATGATGCTGCTTAGTTTAATTGTATTTGAAAGAAATGGTAATTGTGTTTGTTTTGGCAAACCTGTCATCATTTATGTCTGAGGCAGGGTGGAGGAAAAGAGGAAGCCAAAGGATTAGACATCATAGAGAACAAATATGACTGATCAATAAGTTCTGGGTGTGTGTGTATTAGAATGTGAGTGAAGTGAGTGCGTTTGCAGGTCTAGTTTAGTGGGGTTTATTAAGTTTTTCAAACTTTAGAGGATAGGTAGGGAAAAATATGAACTCACCTTCTGAAAATCTTGAGGCATAACGAGAAACCTATGCTCAGCAATTAGACAACTGTAGCAGATGAAACCTCAAGACTGTGAGAAGAAACATCTAGAAAACGATAAAAATATTACTTCTGCCAATAGCTCAAATGGAAGTCTTTATCATTAGACTTTAATTACAAAGGGTTACTTTTCTTTTTTAAAAAACTCAATTTATGTTGTTTCAATCTACTTTTAAAGATTGGAAAATTGTTTGCCTTGAATGAGTACCACCCAAAGAATTCTCACTTATTTCTGAGTTACCTCCCTCATGTCCCTGCATTGTCAGCTGCTGTCACCTTGCTTGCCCTTACAGTTCTTCCCCTTCCAACCTGGCTTACACATGTTCATGTCTACTGCCCATGAAACTTAGTGGAAATGGCTTTTTAAAAAATTTGTATTTGGATGTGATGAAACATTCCTGTTTTAAGGCCTGACTTCAATATGGAAATATAGAGAATGACATCCTTTACTACTCAAGAACAAAGGTGTCATCTGAGACTCAGACTTGTAAGACTGCTTGTGTGCAATGTCTTACTCCGTTCCTTCTGGGTAGTTTAGTGTCTGACCTCTGACCTGAAGTATGTGTAGAGGAACCATACTACCCACCCCTACTTACCCCTTTTCCTCCTAGACAGGACAGAGCAAATGTCAAGTTTGAACTGTGAAGGGTCTGAGATCATACTGCACTTGAAAGCGAACAAGTTAACCTTCCCTAATGTCTGAGGTGTTTTCCTTTCGTGTATGTGTGTGCGTGTATGATATCTATATTATGCAGACATAAATTTACATCAGGGTCAGTTCCTCCCAGGACAATACCATGAAGGCCTGATGTCACTTGCTTATGTGGTTATGGGGTGGTGTTGGCAGCATTGGAGAGGGAACCTGATATTAAAGAAACTTGGAGTTTATACAAGAATTGATGGGACATCTTCCCACCTCACTCTTTGCAGACAGGGAGAAAGAAATACTTTGCTCTGGAATGTAAAGAAATTCTGTGGAGAGGAGGAGAGGGTTTCTATTTTGCCATGTTGGAATGTAAACTATTGCCTCCAGGGAGGGAAACCTCCGGGTTTTTCTATCTTTGTGTTTGGTACTATGGCCTCAATGTCTGTTTCCCCTGAATTCATGTGCTGAAAGTCTGATTTCTCAAGGTAGTGGCATTAAACATGGGAACTTGGGAGGTGATTAGGTTCATGAATGGTATTGGCACATTTACAAATGAGGCCTCAGAGAGCTTGTTTGACCTCTTTGAGGACACAGTAAGAAAGTGCTATCTATAGACAGAAAGCAGACCCTCACCAGACATTCAATCTGTCAGCATCTAGATCTTGGAGTTCCTAGCCTCCAGAAATGTGAGAAATACATTTCTGTTGCTCACAAGCTACCTTGTCTATGCTGTTTTCTTATAGCAGCAGAAACAGGCAGACACTTGATATTCAATCATACTTTAATCCAGGTGCCAGTGCTCTGTGTTCAGAAAGCCCTGACCTTGAAGAAACATGGGACATTATGGAGCATTATCTCCCAAGATCATGACTCTACCTTTTTAAGGGGTTGGGGATGTATTTCAGTAATAGAGTTCTTGCCTGAGGTATGCATGATTCTCTGGGTTTGATCCCCAGCACTGAAAATAATTTAAAAGAGAAGGAAAGAAAAAGAAAAAAAAAAGAAAGAAAGGAAAACTTCCAAGTGTAGACACTGGGTAAAGTAAAGGAGGGAGGAAAAGAGTAAAGACAGAATGAAGGTATTTTATGTACGAAATTTAGCCATTTCTAAATGACTGTCATAGTAATTTAATACTATTATAAATTATACACATGTCAGTTGTGAACTCTCCCTCTCCATGGAGAAAACAGAGATGATTCTTATTCCCCTCCTTTCCTTCCCTCCCTCCCTCCTTCCTTCTTCCTTCCCTCCTTTCTTTTTTCCTTTATAAAACAGATATTTACTGAATATTGATTATGTGAGAAACACTGTGCTAAGTGTAGGAAAAAATAATGTCTAGCAAAATAGACAGAGTCTTGGAGCCTAAAGTTTAGAAAAGTAGAGGCAATTTGTAAACAAATCATCATTATAAATGTATTAATTACAGTTGTATAAATTCTGTGAAGAAAAAACCCATGGTGCTATTAAGAGTATTTAACAAGGGAAATATACGTCATCTGAAAGTATTTTGAAGTTGTCGGACTTAGCAAATAAAAATATAGGACACCAGTTAAATTTGAGTGTCAGGTAGACAATGAAGAGTTTCATATGTATTTCTCTTGTAATATTTGAGCTATAATTAAACTGAAAGGTTAATCATTACTTATGAGGAATTCAATTTTAACTGGATTCCTACATTTTACCTGACAATCCTTTGTGGGGAAAGGGAAAGGAGTAAAGAAGGCCACTTTTAGGAAGTGACATCTGATCTGGGACCTAATAGGTAAGTTAGTTCTATCCAGAGTCAAAGATGTGGTGTGGAAAGAGGGCCAGGGTAGACCATACACATAAAAGGAATGCAAGTATGTGTAAGTGAAAAGAATCTGATATCTTTAGTTATTGTGGCCAAAGTGGAAAGAATGAAGGGGTAGATGATATTCATAGATACCAGAATGATCAGAATTCAGAAGCCTAGTTTGAGGATATTAGAGGTTAAAGGGATTAAGGACAGGAATTAGAACTGAGCTCTGTCCTGGGGCCATGGTAAAGTCCCCACTGGCTGTAGACAAGTCAATTCACTTCTCTGTGTCTCATAGGCCAAATAGATGTTAAAATGATAACAAATGAGATAATGGAATACAGATTCTGAGGAGTTCACTCGGAAAATTCAAAATCATCTAATATAAAACTGAAGCTTAGGGCAAGGAATTGTCCTGAAAAGGTAAAAGGTAGAAGTCAATGTTTTGGATTCAAAACCTGACTCTCTCACTTACTTGCTGTTGGGTCTTAGGTAATCAAATCAAATCCTCTCTGCGAAGTGAAACTCCTATACAAGGTTGGCGTGAGTGTAAATTAGGTTAGCCAATGTAAAAAACTAAAAACAGAACTACAAAATGCTCCAGCAATCCTCCTATAATCTTTAGATGTAGGGACACCTTCACTCTCATATTAATGCAGCATTTTTAACAATAGTCAAGATACGGAATGGCCCAAGGTGTCCACTGTTGGATAAAGGGATAAGGAAAATATGGGGATATGTGTACAATGGACTGTTACTCGTCCATAAAAGGAATGAAATCCTGTGCTTTTTGGTAACAAGGATGGAATTGGAGGACATAATGCTAAGTGAAATAAGGCAGGCACAGAAAGATAAATATCATAGGCTGTCACTCATTTGTGGAAACTAGAAAGGGAGGAAATGGGGCATGGAAAGAGGTTAGATAACAGTTACCAAGATACAGTTAAAAAGATAGATTATTTATACTATAGCACAATAGGGTAACTATAATATACAATTTATTATGTATTTCAATATAAATAGAAGAGTCTGTCAGTACCCAGCACATAGAAATCATAAATGTTCAAAGAAAGGGAAATGCTGGTTTATGTGATTTAGTCATTGTGTATTGTATACATGTATGATCATTTCACAAATGTCAAAAATTAAAGCGGTAGATAATATATCTTAAGTACATAAAATTTCCATTTGTCTATTATGCCTTTATAAAGCTGAACAAAATTAATGAAACAAAAACAAAACAAACACTCTGATGGTCCTCATCTCTCCCATGTAGGACCATATGAGCACCATCTACCTTTCTGAATTGTTGTTAGGTTTTGCTAAAATGAACAGCATCTTGATAGTGAGCGAGGTAGACAGTAGGTGTTCATCGACTGATTTGCTAATGTAGATGGGTTTTCTGTTTATTATCATAAAGACTTCTAGAAACCTTTGGTTGGAGAATAGAAGGTGAAAGAAATGGAAGCAATTTTTTTTCCCTGGGCACATATTGTGTATATCCTAGTTTTTGTCCATCGATTTTTTGCCCATGGATTTTTTGCCCATTGGATCTGTCACTTCTGAAGTTTCAAGGAAGATATGGATTCGAAACAACAGATGCCCTGAGCTCCTCAAACTTTTTGATGTCAAAAGTTCAAAGATTTCAGGAGGCAAAAGAAAAAGAGACTGTGAGCTTTAAAGTTCCCACAGTCTACAGTTAACCTTGTTAGCAGGGCCATCTAGAGATAATTTGATTCAAATACATTCTATTAATTAATTAAGCAAACATTTATAAACACCTTTCATGAAGCTCTCAAGCTTCTGTCCTTTCAAGAAGACAGAGAAGTAAAAAGATGTATTCCGCTACATGTTTATTGACTGTCCCAGAGGAGTGGGCTTTATTGGCTGGAATTTCATACCAGCTAAGGGAGAAGTCTATGGTGGGACTTGGGGCATCTAAACACTCAATGAGGCTGTCCTTGGGCTCAGACAGGTTACTGGCTAACCCCTTGACCTTTTTCCTGCTCAGAATGTATAGCTAGTTGGACCTAGAGCTAATTCGCTATCTGATTTCTTAGTTCTCTTAAGCATACTGAGAACAAATGGTAAGTATTTGCTGTGGTAGGTTAGTACTTGACAAATGGTTGAATTCAGTTATTTATCTTATGGCTTAGTGCCAGGTAGATGGCAAAATATTTGCTAGAATCTTTCATATGTTAAAAAGCATAAGAAGTATGTGGTCATTGTTAGTTTTCTCAGCAAAGATGGATGTGCAAGAATCCAGCCATAGCTAAGTCTAGTATATGCTTTGCAAAGCAAATGGCCATATTAGGTGAGAAGCTGGTAGCTGAGAATAGACAGGCTAATACTCTTAACAAAGGTGATGCTGTGATTCTAATTCCTCAGGAGAGGCTAAAATACAGAACCCAGAGGAGCTCATCATCAGCATTTAAAATGTGAGGTCCTATGAAATGTTTAGTTTAAATTTACCATAGTTGAATGCCTCTGAGGGCTTCCCCCCACTCTTCTCACTTGGAAGAAAGAAGAAGCTTAAGAAAACAATCTAGTCTAAAGGATTAATTTTTGAAAGGTCAAGGTCCCACACTTAAAGCTGTGGTTTGGGGCAAAGGAAACTGTGGTTTCTGAGGATGTCCCTGAGGACATCCAAACTCAAAAATCATCAAAGAAAGATTCCATTGTGTTTGGAAAGGCTGCTTTTCCTCATAAGAAAGGGAGGGGCACGTTTTAGAGTTATTGCCAACTGCAACAGTTGGAATGAAAATATCAGTGACTTCTAGTTGGAATGTTCTATTGACTTCTATCTCAACAGATTTCAGATGCCAGCTGCTAAGGTAAATTTTTCCTTGCCTTCTGGGAGGTTCCAGATAAAAGAAAGGAAAGGACAAATGGTGATGGAAATGTACAGCACTCAAATGCTCAAATAGGGGAAGGTGTGTGCCATTTATACACGGGTCTATTTTTTTTTCAATCAAACCCTTCAGTTTTTTCTGTTAATACTCATTTGGGGCTCTTTCTCTTTCTTTTTTACATATCTATATTGGTAAATTTTGTATAAATGTGTGGGACTTTCAGAGATGTTCATCTCAAACTCTGCTCTTTGGCCAGTTCTAAAAGTGAAATGAATTCTGGCCTGTTTTCTCTGGTTTATGACAAGCCATTGCAATTCTAGGAGCACTGTCTTAATAAAAAGTCCATAGCTCACAATTAAGAAGACTATCAACAATACCATAGAGATGAGTTTTTATAAGATAGATGTTACATTTTGTGTGTATGTGTAGGGTGCTGGGGATTAAACAGGGCTTCTAGCATGGTAGGGAGTGCTCTACCTCTAAACTACATGCCTAGTCCTTTGTATTTTATTTTGAGACAGAGTTTGGTTAAATAGCTCAAGTTAACCTTAACCTTGTGGTCCTCTGCCTCTGTCTCCCAAGTTCCTGGAATTACAGGTGTGCACGGTTATGCCTGGTTGTATATTACATTTTTAAATACACTTTCATTTTTGAATTAGAGTTTACTGTAAAATAGATTCACAATGGATATAAGAAAGTGCTAGTAATGCAAACTACATCTTTAGAGAAATTAAGAAATTTAAGATTTGGTGTGACTCTACATCATGTACAACCAGAGAAATTAAAAGTAGTGCTCCATTTATGTACAATGAATCGAAACGCATTCTGCTATCATGTATAGCTAATTAGAATAAATTAAAAAAAGAAATTTAAGATTTGGAATTTGAATAGGAATACATGCAGTACTCTGCTGAAACTATTTAGGATAATTCTTCTTCTTTCCCTTGGTCTGTTAGAAGTATACAATTGTCTTGAAAAAGTTAAAGTTTAGGCCGTGGATATTCTAAGTGTTATTTATATGTTTGTCTCTTCCAAACAGATGTATTTTGAAGGCAGTTTCTTTTTCTAATTTATTTGTTATTTATAGTGTCTAACACAGTGCTTTAGACACAACAACTGGCAAATAAATAGCTTCTGATTGGTTCTGTAGATATGGTGCTCTTCATGGAGAAATATTTCTTTTTTTCTTTTAACTCCAAGTGTATTTGTAGGATAAATACAATAATCTGTGTCTGTGTGTGAGAGAGAGCCGGGTGGGATGGAGGGAGGGAGGGAGAGAGAAAAGAGAGAAGAAGTGGGGGAAGAGAGAGAGAGAGAGAGAGAGATTGAGACTGAAGGAGATATTTTGACTGTAGGCTAGATATGCTAAATATCCTACCAATGTGGAAGACTCCTGATCAGTTTTCTTATGCATTAAGTGATTACAGTCAGCTTTCTGTATTCTGGTGAGTGTATTCAATCAACCACAATCAAACCCCAAAACTGTTACATCTGTACAAATATTTACAGGTTTACATGTGGCAAGCACCCTGCTCTGCTATGTGCTCCTCACCATAAGCCGATAGTGGTGTGAAAACCAACCATGGACAGAAACCTCTGAAACTGTGAGTCCAAAATAAATCTCTCCTCCTTAACAAAAAACGTACAGGCTTTTTCCCCTTGTCATTATTTCCTAAATGATATAGCACAAGTGTCTACATAGCATTTGCATTGCATTGGGTTTGATAAGTAATCTAGAGATCTTTTAAAGTATTTGGGAGTATGTACATAGGTTATATGTAAATACTATGCCATTTTATATAAGAAATTTGAGTATTTTAACATCTGTTGGGGTCATGCAACCAGTTCCCTGAGGATACTGAGAGATAAAAATAGTCTTTAACATGCTCTGACCCTAGATGCTGCTAGGGGATCTATTCTGGTGCATCAAAAACTCTGGAAATCATTGTTACCACACATGGGATTAAAAATAGGTCAGTTATATTAGAAGTCTATTTTTTTTAATTCCAACACTTGTGAAAACCCTCAAGCAATTAATGCACTTTTACTAGCCATCCCCTATCTATTTATCTAGGAAATTTATCCTAGAAAAATAGCAAGGGGAAAATATGTATAATTTTTCTTGGTAACAGAGTAACTAACTTGTCCTGATTTGCTAGAAGCTTTCCGCTTTTTAGCATTTTAATTGTCTCAGTGTCAAGCAAATACTGATTCACCTGCTGTTGGCCTCCCTGCATCACAAGCCTCCCTTTTGCTGGATAATTCTTTTGAGATGCTGCTTGGAAATATGGGAATGGACATCAAATTGCCTTCTAAGGGTTTGGTTAACTTCAAAAGTTATCTTTTCAGAATGAGCAATATAAGTTAGGGAAAGAGATAAATTCCTTGGGGAATTAGAGGTTAAAAGAGTCTAAACCGGGAAGAATTTAAAGACAGGAACAGATTCACAGGCTTGTGGCTAAGGAAGAATGTCAAAGAACTTAAAGAACTTAAGAAGAAGAGTGTCTAAGGACTTAAGTAGTGATGTTTATAAAGTTGTTTGCTGTTGCAGTGTATTAAAGATAGTTTCTTTTTCTTCTTCCCATACTATCTTCTGGCAATATTTAAAATTTGACTGATAAATAGAAGATTAGACACAGGAAAATAGAGAGTGAATCAACAGGAATATAAATTTCTGGTCCTCTCACCCCACTCCCAAAATATCTTAAACTGCAATGTGGTAAGAAAAGCAGAAAATATATAAAAAAAAATTTTATATCATATGTAACTGACATCCATTTGTATTAGGATTTTTTTAAAGGAAGAAAACCCACTAGAAATCAGTAAGAAATCATATAAAATAATGGAAATATGAACAGAAAAAATAAGAATGGGCAAATCCCTCAAAAAGAAATATGAATGACAAGTAGACACGGAACTAAACATCAAACTAATAAGCTTCTTCTCAGCAAAGAAACAATCAGTGAGGTGAATAGAAAGCCTACTAATTGGGAACAAATTCTTACCACATGCACGTCAGATAGAGCACTAATCTCTTGGATATATAAAGAACTCAAAAATCTTAACACCAACCCCCCCCCCAATAACCCAATCGATAAATGGGCCAAGGAACCGAACAGATAACTTCTCAGAAGATATACAATTAATATACAATTAATCAACAAATATATGAAAAAATGTTCAACATCTCTAGCAATTAGAGAAATGCAAATAAAAGATACCCTAAGATTTCATCTCACTCCAGTCAGAATGGCAGGATTAAGAATAGAACAACAATAAGTGTTGGTGAGGATGTGGGGGAAAAAGGCACATTCATATATTGTTGGTAGGACTGCAAGTTGGTGCAGCCAATATGGTAAGCATTATGGAGAATCCTTGGAAAATTGGAAATGGAACCACCATTTGATCCAGCTATCCCACTCCTTGGTCTATACCCAAGGACTTAAAAACAGCATACTATAGGGACACAGTCACATCAATGTTTATAGCAACACAATTCACAATAGCTAAATTGTGGAACCAACCTAGATGCCCTTCAGAAGATGAATGGATAAAGAAAATATGGTGTATATACACACTGAAATATTATTCAGCATTAAAAGAGAAAAAAAACATGGCATTTGCAGGTAAATGGATGGAGTTGGAGAATATAATGCTAAATGAAATTAGCCAATCCTCCCAAAAAACAAATGCCAAATGATTTCTCTGATTTAAGAATGCTGATCCATAATATGCTGTGGGGTGAGGGGCTGGGAGGATTAAATGAACTCTAGATAGGGCAAACGGGAAAAGAGGAGGGAGGGGAAGGTAGGGGGCATAGGGGTAGGAAAGACAGTGGAATTCGATGATCATCATTACCCTAAGTTCATGTATGAAGACATGAAGTATGTGACTCTACTTTGTGTACAACCAGAGATATGAAAAATTGTGCTATATATGTGTAACATGAATTGTAATGCCTCCTATTGTCATATATAACAAATTAAATTAAAAAAAAAAAGAAAATTTGCCAGTGAAGAACAAAAAAAAGAAGTTCAATTTCATGAAGATATTGGAAATACAAATTGAAATCATTTTTAAATAGTGATACCACTTCATACCCAGAAGATGACTTGTTTATTGATTGATTGATTGATTGACTGATTTTTTTTACAACATCCAGCCATACCAAGGATAGAGGTCAATGGACCTTACATTCTAATGGTGGAAATGTAGATCATTTAACCACTATAGAGAACAATTCAACAGCATATGTCACTGGATATAATATGGCCTAGAAAATCCTCTCCTAGGTATATTCTAAAGATACTCTGGCACTTTGCAAAAATTTACATTGCAGCATTATTTTTAATAGTGAAAAAAAAAACCCAGAAAGCATTATCTTATTTATTGTTGAGTTAAAACACCTATGATGGGGGCTGGGGATGTGGCTCAAGCAGTAGCTTGCTCGCCGGGCATGCGTGCGGCCTGGGTTCAATCCTCAGCACCACATACCAACAAAGATGTTGTGTCCGCTGAGAACTAAAAATAAATAT